GCTCGGTGGGGGGGGGGGAGGGGGGGGATTTGAATGTGAATCCATTTGGGTTAGAAAGTCCACGAGATAGACTTTTCAACAACAAATGATTCATCCAATTTGAACTCTGAATGCAAACGTCAAAAACATTTGAAGTCAAATGTGTTAGTGCAATCGGAATCTGAGTCGAGAACATGGGAAACTTGATCTATGACTTCTCTTGAGCTCAAAGTGGCGTGAGAGAATTTCTTGTACAACACCTAATCACGACTCTTTGATTTATCCTCCCACATGGCTTGAATAGGTGTCCAGTAATTATGCAATTAGACATAAAATAAGAAAAGATGAAGTATTTTTTTTGGATAACATAAATAAATTATTGCGTATATTTTACTATAAATCACCTAAAAATATGTATGTGCGCAATATTTTTGGTCGTATTCAAGGTAGCCATGTCCTCACCATCCTCCCATTTCGTAAACAAAGTCACTCTCAGCATTGTTGAATCTGAAACATGGCTAACAAAAGAGACAGGGTATACATGTTATATATGTATATGTCATTATATTTAGTTCTCTTAGTTGGTGCACATATGACACATTTATACATGAGTAATTTTCAAATGTCATGAAATATAGAGTCAACATATTATAACAAAAATAAACCTTATGAAAATATTGTAACTTAGTTTGTGTATATAAGTGAAGCTCTTATTCACAATGCTCATCATTAAACCATCTCAACATTGATGAATAAATTTTAATTATTTTAAAACTACATAATACCACATTTAAATAAGCAAACATGCAACATGTCATTTGACACAAATTCATCACCAAATCAGAGGTCATATTAAATAAAAATATTAACACAATTATTTTCATTTATTGGAACAATTATTTTTATTTATTTCAAACTAGCACGATCATCTCTTGTGATGCAGATTTTATACACAAATAAATCTTTGTCTACGCTATACTCTCCAATCAATTAAAAGTAAAATTAGAGACATAAACACTATAATAATTTTGAACATGTGATTTCAGTATTTTGAACATGCTTAAATAAGCAAACATGCAGTAAGTCCTTGCAAATTCCACATTTCTAAACATGGCTAATGATGTTTGTCGAGAAATCTCAAAAATGTGACCTTTTGTCTCAATCAGGCTCAAACAGACCTAACTATTCATGAGCACACAGCTATAGTAGAAACCGCACCAAACCACCATAAATGGTATTCAACACAGCCAGCACACCGAGTACTACCGAGTTTATATTTTGAAGCAAACAGCCAGCACCCATACAATACAGTAAGACTTTTCATCAAGCAGGCTGTGAAAAACTGAGCTTGCTAGAATGGAATTTTCGGCACACAGATCTACCAATCAGTTTCTGTAAATGTACACTGATCTACTACCTCTACAGATGAGAGCATCAATAGACTGTTAGCTGAGCAATGCGGGCAATCTCTACTTTCTTCTCCTGCTCCTACACATGAGAGCTGTCCATAAACTGTTAGCGGCAATCAATCCTGACATTCTAACCATCCATCAGCTCTTACTTTCTTCTCTTGCCCCTGTAGCTACTAAGCGACGACAGCCCCCCTGCAAACACCGACATTTCCGAGGGAGGGGGTGATGACGGTCGAATCATCGATGGGAGTGGCGAAAAGCAGCCCACATCGCCATCCGGAAGGTCAAGATCGTATAACTCATCAGCGAAGACTGCAAAGTTCGAACCAGTGCTTCTTTTCTGAAGGAGGCCAGGATCACTGGCTCTCAAGTCTAGTGCTATGTCCCTGGGTTCCAGCAGTAGTCCTAGTCCAGGCTCCAGCACCACGTTATCGATCTCTGTCAGTGATTTCAATTGGCGTCCCAGTGAAGCAATGGTCTTCTGGCACTCTGCAAGCTTCCCAGCTGCATTAGCAAGCTCCTTCTCCTATAACAAAGATCATGATTCATATTCAGACATAGAATATTGATTCTCTTAATTTATATGCATTCAGGTTAACAGGTGTGATGTTTGAGCTGCAACAACTTTAGTGGCGCAATGCTAAAGAATCCTCTTTCTACTCTGGATCGATAATCGACAAAACACAAGTTCATAAATGTTATCAGAGCCGCAATCACCAGATTCAGTATAAAGATAAATTTACCTGCTTGGTCTTTAGGTCTCCATTTGAGTTTGCAAGCCTCCAGAGCTTCGCGTCCCGAATATCCCTTGACAACTGAGCCTCCAGCTTTCGGCATTTCTGTTCATAATCTTCTGACAGCAACCTTTCCTGCACAACCTCCCCTTGGAGGAAGCTCACCATGTTCGTCAGTTTCACAACATCGGCCTTTGATGCTTCAAGTTGATGCTCTATTGCCGTTCTTTGTGACTGCACAGACTCTTCCTTGGCAGTGAACTCCGCTGCTGACAACATCTGTTCCTGCAGTTTTGCTTCAAACAATTCAACCTTCTCCTTAAGCTTCCAGGCATCCTGATGTGCAGACTCAACCTCTGACTCCAACACCCTTTTTATGGCCTCTAGAGCTTCTAGCTGCAGCTGGAGCTCGTCAGAGAACTCCTTTTCCTTTACCACTTCATGCTCAAGCGCTGTCACCATATCACGCAGTTTCACAACTTCAGAGTTGACTAACTGGAGTTCTGCCTCCAATGATTCTTTAACAGACTCCACAGAAAGAGATTTCTCTGCTTCTGCCAATTTTTCATGCAATGCCTTCTCTTTTTCAATTACCTCATTTTCTAGCGCTTTAATGACATCACGCAGTTTCGCTACCTCACTATTTGCTGAACATAGCTGTCCCTCCAATGATTCCTTAACAGCTTCAGAATGAGTTCTCTCTGCTTCAATCTTCATGTCTAGCTGTGATGTCAGTTCTTCATGCACTGTCCTCTCCTTTTCTATCTCACTCTCTAATGCTTCGATAATGCCACGCAGTTTCTCTACTTCGGTGTTTGCGGAACAAAGCTGTGCCTCCAATGGTTCTTTAACAGCCTCAACAGCTGCTTCAATCTTCAGCAATGATTGTGTCATGAGTTCGTCGTGCAGTGCCTTCTCTTCTTCTACCTGATTCTCTAGTGATTTAATGATGCCATGCAGTTTTTGCACTTCCGCGTTTGCAGAATACAGCTGTCTCTCCAACAATTCTTTAGCATTGCATGCAGCATCTGATTTTTCTTTGTGCTGCACAGAAAGAGCAGTCTCGGTTTCAATCCTCTCTTCCAATGATGCCACAGTCACCCGAAGCTCTGCGGCTTCGGCTGACACCAGTTCTAACTGTGACTCAAATTCCTTCTTTTCTGCATTTTCTCCCAATGAAGCAACAATCGCATGTAGCTCCTCAGCTTCTACAGATTTGGACTCCAGTTGAAACTCCAAAGCCTTTTTCTCCGAGTCCAATCGGTCCACATCTCCCAGAGCAGCATATTTAGAGTCATTTGCCAAATCCAATTGCATTTGCATTTCAACCAGCCTGTTCCTTGCCGCCACTAGTGCGTCACAGGAGATGTCAAGCTGATTTCTAGCCTCTATCAGAGCTATCTCAAGCTCCTTCTTATAGCTTTCAACCACTTCAACCCTCGAATGCAAATCTGCAACATGACGCCACAATTCTTCATTTTCAATTTTAGAAGAGCTGTTTCTCGTCACAGCCTTGTCGGAATCTGTCTCCATATCAAAGGTAGAGCTTGTCTGGTCTGATTCAGGCAATGCAGCCAACCTTTCCATCTCAAGGAAATCATCCATTAGGTCGATCTCAACAGGACTATTCACAATATTTGTTGCACTAGCCTTCGCATTCCTGAACTGATCAAGCTCTGTAATCAGAGCAGATGCCCACGAGTCAGAATTTCTCAATTCACTATCAACAGCAACCATACATTCTGCACTGTCAGAGTGGCTGTCAGTTAGTGATTCTGCGCTTGGCGGAGGTCTAGAATCATTGACCAATGCTGTTTTCTGAGCTAGATAATGTAACCTGCGGCATTCTGCCTCAACCCTAGCAATCTTTTTTATACTTTCCAGGTGCTGCTTGCTGGCTGTCTCTGCTGCTTGATTGCTCAAGTCTTTTTCCAGTGAGAGTATCTTCAGATCCTTGGACTGTACAAGGAGCTTGGCCTTGAGATCCAAGTTCTCTTTCTCGATTGTCTGAAGCTTCTCTTGTAGATCAGGCTGTGCAGACACGGTGGATGCTTCTGATTTGGTTGCTGCCAGCTGCTTCTTCAGCTCAGCAATATGGTTTTGCAGCTTGGAGTTCTCAGACTCCAACTCCTGGGACTTCTTGGTAAGTGCATCACGTATTATCTCCTCTTGTTCTTCCCTTACCAGGCGCAGCTGCCTCACGCATTCCTTGAGGGCCTTGTCTAGGTGGCTGACTTGACCCTCGAGATAGTCATTTCTATGGGAAGCAGCTTCAAGCAGCTTCTTGATGGCAGTAGCTTCAACTTCAGCTTGTTCCCAACCTACATAAAGCATCAACGAAATGGTTGTGAACATTACTACATAGAATAATAAAGCTGAAAGTATCTTCCCCTTCTCTCTTGCAGAAATGAAGCTGAACATTACTTGCAGAAATACAATCCATCAACAAATTAAAATTTAAGCTAATAAATCAAATATCAACAAAGAACTAGCCATGGACAGGGGTGTGTGGAAGTTAGCTATCCACGTGCCAGAACCATGACTTGGTTTTGAGATCTTATGGGTTTCAACACTAGCCTACCCCAACTTATTTGGAACTGAAAGGCTTTGTTGTTGTTGTGGAAATTATAGGATGGCTATTTGTGTTGTTCTGTTGTACTGATCTGACCCTCATATGGGGTATATATAGAAAGTACAAGTACATGGGAGGGGAATTCAGAACAAGGAAAATTGGCCCCTCACTCCCGACCCCCTCGCGCCGCCACCCAGGGCAACGCCGGGGGGACCAACTCCTTCACGCCGCCAGCCCTCCCGCGAAGCAGATCCCTGCCACCGCTGCCGTCGGCACTGGCCGCGCCCAACGCCAAAAGGGCTAGGGCAGAAGGTTTGCGCCGGATCTCCCAGGAGGCGGCTGGGGCGCCTCGTGCGGGGTGTCCTCGCGCGGCAGCCACAGCGGCGTCCTGGCTGTGCGGCGGCAGCCGGCAAACCCATGGCTGGCAAGGTGCTCCGGTGGGATCCTCCGCTATGCGATGGGCGGCGGCGGTGGCGGCCTCTGAGAGTGCGCCAGACCGGTGTGACCTAGTCCCGGTATTGTGGCTGGGCTAGGGCATCCGGCTTTAGATGTCAGGCTTTGGTGTGATGTCTGTTTGGTATTAGGCTCGGACATTCGGCACCCCTTCAGCAAGGGGATAGGAGTAGCGACAGGTGTTGCCAAGATGGTGGCTTCAGGCTTAGTGATGTATTACTTTGTAAGGTCATTGTAAATAATTAATAAAATGGCTGCATGCATCGCCCAGATGCAGAGGCCGGGGGTATATCCTCCTTTTCTAAAAAAAAGAAGTACATGGGAGGGAGAGAGACTTGGAGTAGAGGGCAAGTCGTACATGATTTAAACCGATTCTATCTCTAAGTCCTAATCTCTAACTTAAACATAATTATACTTCTAGCAGTTGTTGTAAATGAAATATGGGACTCCCTTTGACAGAATATATAATTTTCTACTATGGAGCCCGCAAAGGGGTTAGATACTGCTGTACGAACAGCAGATGCTGGATACGTTATGCGTAAACTTATTGAAGTTGTTCAACATTTTATTGTGCGTATAAGAGATTGTGGTACTATCCGAGGTATTTCTGCGAGTCCTCCACCAGAGTTGTTGAATATCAACAACTTATTACACAAATCCCATTTTTTAGAGCGGGTAGAAGGAGTAGGTTTTATTAGCGGAGAAGAAACAGCAAATTGGGGCTTATCAGGACTGATGTTATGAGCTTCTGAACAAAGAAAAATTGTCACTATTATATTATAAAGGATGAGATTAATTTGTAAGTGCCTTTTCTTATTCTAGGTAACAGAATTCCGTTGGTCTAATTTAGGACTTCCCCATTTATTTTATTTTACCTAATACTATCTACACCCCAGGGGCTAATACAGAAACAGTACAGTCCTTTCCTTTTTCTGATTATAGAGTATATAAATGCACAAGAACAAATGAGGAAATCATTCGATTCCCTTCAAGCTTACCTGCAACAGCCTCTTCTGTGACTTTAGTATGCTGCTTAACCAGATCCTCTTTATCACTAATAGCCAAAAGGGCAGCAGCAAGTTTTTCATTCAAACTCTTCATGGTCTCCTTGGTCTCTTCATCTCCATTTGATGATAGGTATGATTCTAGTGACTGACCATGTTGTGGAGAAAAATCATTTAAATTAACTCGTGATGCTAGCTTCTCATTCGACAATTTTGGTACTCCAATTTCTTGGGTCTCGTCATGCCTAACCCTCGAAGAGACTTTGGGTGATTGACCATGATGTGCTGAAGCATTGTTTGAGACAGGCCTCAGAACCTCCTGCTTAAACAGGAGCAGAAAATTTAAATGCTTAAATAACCTTTTCTCACAAAAATGAAAATATGTGTAAAAGACGTGTGCAGAGTTAGTAATAGATGCCATCTGCACATACTCCCTCCGGTCCTTTTTAGTCTACATATAAGTTTTGTCCGAAGTCAAAGCATCTCTACTTTGACCAAACTTATAGAAAAATGTATCAACATTCACAATGTCAAATCAATAATTTTGATTCATTATGAAATGTAGTTTCATAAAATATATATATATATGGTATTGTAGATATTGATTTTTTTTAAATATAAATTTGATCAAATTTTGCAAACTTTGACTTGACACAAATCTAATACGAGGAGTAAAAAGGACCAGAGGGAGTACATCACATGAAAAAGTACCCCGCCTGTTTGTAAATAGATGACATTTAAACATTGACACGCTCTTCAATATGGATGTTCAACCATTAGTTTTTGTAGGAGCATGCTAATAGAAAATCATGAATGTATTAGTAGGACAAACCAAACGGTACTATTTTCACCTTACCAATCCAAATATATCTGTATCTACTAGTAGTAGTCAAAGTTAGAATAGTTTGACTGCACGAATTTTAGGAAGTCAATTATTCACCAAAGGCGGAAGGAAACATACGACTATTGCAGAACTTAATAACTTTGAAAAAATAGAAGTGAGGTATAAATTTCAAAAGCAATACCTAGTACCATGTTTTAGTAACTTTTTGAGCATCAACAGAAATCAAGTTTTTGTTCAAATTAATGAACTAGATGATAAAATCCGGAGAAGACCTGATCTATGTATTACAAAATTGTAAGCATACTGTATTCACATCATCAATCAAGTCCTTCTGGTAGCTACCAGAGCTATTTTCTTTAACCATCTATGCGAAACCATTTTTTCTTGAAAACGAACGACCTATGTTCTTCAGGCTTTTGATTGAATTTGTTTGCCAATCATTCAGAGTAGCCTATGCCCTATAGTTGTTGCGAGGTCTGAGGACTAGGGAAGCATCACTTAAACGTTTAAGTCCTTTGCAAGGTACTGCTGATATTCAACTATTAGGAAATACACTTGTTTCATCGAAAATCAAGAACAGACTTTACCAGTATTAGCGAACATTCAGAAATTGCTAAAATCCTCTTATGGATAGACATAGAGCCTAAAGTATCATAGTTGTGGCTCAACAAGTAAATCTTACACAACTGGAACTAATCTTACACTTGATAGGTTGAAAGCTGTTGGCCTTTCTCTATCACAAGATTTCCCACTAATGGGCAATGGCAATGTACTCAACAAACATTAGCATCTGAACACCTGTCCTACTTAATCAGATCAAACTATGAGTTTGTATGCTTTATCAATCTGTCCAAGGCAGAAAGCCTATAAATTCTTTATTAAAGTGAAGTTCAGAACTTTCCGAATACTAGAATTCATTGCCCAAACCTCGAGAAAGAGCCACATTCAACAAAACGGCTCCCCATGATAAGAATGTGTTAACTACCCTACACTCATGCCGAGGTGAAAAGATTTGCAGGATACAAAATGAAGGCATGTGGGTAGAACCTGATCGCCCGAGCAGCACTGAGGATGCGATGACACGGGCACAGAGACATCGCTTGCCCCAGGACTATTATCCGAAGGCTTGCGCCTCCAGAGCCAACCCGTGCGGTCCATAACCATCAACTATCCGAAAGATGGAAAAAGTGGTTCTCCTTTCTCAGCTACCACCAGCATATGCAGGTTTGATCAATCAACATTGGCACAGGAAGCGATGCAGAAAGATCTCCTCATGCAGTGCTGCGCTGAAGATGACTAATCTGTATCAAACAGCAGCCAGTTGAAAATTGCTAGTATCAGTGATCACTCGTTTATGATACCAACCGGCAGGTAGAAAAAGATGCAGCTCCCAGTTAATGACACCAACCAGGAACTGTGGTCACGATTGACACGAACTAATTTTGCAACGACTGAGACCAAGCAGGAACTAGGTTGGATTCAGAAAAAAAAACAGTGACCGGCGAAATTTGTTTGTTGGCAAAGCTCAAGAGTCAAAAGTGGGCAAGACCAATACTGACCGACACAAAGTCCCAACTATGCCTGTCCAGGAATTCCAACTAAGAACAGCCGACCCGAAAAAAGAGATTGCTCTTCTGCCTTGACATCAGGAGAAGAAGGTGCGAGCAAAATAGTAGCAAAAAAGCTGCAATGCGTCACTCTAAAAGTTGTAGCCACCGACTGCTCTCAACTCCCCCAAATAGAATAGAAAGACACGAGGAATAAATATGAAATTTTTTTCTTCTTCGAGCAACCAAGGGAATGATAATCCTTGGGCAAAGAACAAGAGGCACAATCCCTAAATCCCCAATTCCTCCTCGCCAATCACCTAAACCTAAACCTAAGCCCCGCGCGTAAATATGCCGAAACCCCCAAATCCAGACCTAACTTGAAGAGAAACCGGCAAAGACCAGCCCTGGGGAAGCGGGGAAAGAAGAAAAGCAGAGCAGCTAGAGAAATTTCATGGCGGACACCAAGAAGGACGAGTCCCGGTCCCGGAGAGTAAGGCGGGAGGGAATGGGCTGCATTAATACCTGCTATTTAAGCATCACACGGAGCAATGCCCCCGCATCGAGTGCAAGAACTCCGTGAACACAACACTCCACTTCTTCTTCTTCAATGCTTCTCTCTTTATTCTCTCTCTCTCTCACTAGGATTATATTCTCTCTCTCTAGGATACTGGATGGGTGTGCAGGCTGCGCTAGGAACGGAAAGCGAGAAGCGTCAGCTCACGCAGTCGCACAGACGGACGCAGATCGGGGCGAGAGAAGACGAGCCGAAAAGCGGAGTGGGGAAAAAGGGAGCGGGAGGGGAGCTGGCGAGGAGGTGGCCATGGGCGTCGGCACTGCTGCTGCAACAGCTTGGCCACCACCACCACCGCCTCATGCAGCTTTGGCCATGTGAGATGTCATGGTCCTATACTATAGTACGAGTACTTTCCAGTTCCCAAGTGAAGGAATGCATCGGAGGAAGAAATAAATGCTCGCAGCCGCAGCAAGAATCCAAAGCGGCTCTTTCCCATTCCCGCAACTAAAATAAATGCAGCGAGCGGGAACCCGAGGCGCACACTCACCCGCACCGCATCAATGGTGGTCGCCGCCGGCCGGCGTTGCCTCGCTCCTTCCTTCCTTCCCGCCCGGGCAGCTCGAATCGCCGACGCTCCGCGGTCCTCTCTCTGTCTGTCGTAGTATACTACTAGGACTACCTTGTAGCCTTCGTGAGTGCTTTTGTTGACTGGCATGGGTGGTGGTGGTGGTGGTTAGTGTTACTTGCCGCTGGGGACGGAGAGCGAGATTGCAGCAGCGGATTAGGGTTCTTGGCGTAGCCCAGTTTAGTTTAGTTTATTAGTTTAGCGTGAGGCGTGATTCGGTTTGGATTCTCCCGGGCGATGTGGGGGTTGTCGTACGCCTGACGACGCGCGGTTTGTGTCTTGCCCCCGCCTTTTCCTCGGCTCGCCCCGCGCGTCCTTGGCTCGTGTACCGGGTGGGGGTCCAGCGGTCTTGCCCGACCGACCCCGGAGGCCACGGGCCCCGCCAGCCAGACGGCATGGGGATACTCTGCCGCTTGTACGGCGGTGGAAACCGGACTCCGAACGGGGGCCACTTCCGGACCCCGGACGCTCATTTTGGCCGCTTTTCATCCATTTGAGTTGGTTCGTGCCTTCAACTATGTTTGGGTCGGCTGCTTAGAGCAACTTCAATGGAGCGATTTAAACGGACGGCGCATTTGTCCATTTTTTGTCCGTTTGGGTCGGCCGTCTGCCCACCGTCCGCCCAGTTTTATATTTGGGTCGGCAATGCGCCCAACGCGCCGACCTATTTCATGTTCGCATTTAACTTTTAAATAAAAAAGGCCCGCGGCCGATCATGCCAGCGGCCATGTCTCATGCTGGCACCATGCCAGCGCCCGCATACAATGCCGACTTCAGAAAACACCACAGTTCATGCTGGCGCACTTGCCAGCCAGCCGGCACACATGTCAGCACACAAAAAATGGTGGGACTTGAGTTCGACCACGCCATCACGGCTCCTGTGGTCATGTCGGCACACCTGCCGGCATACAACAAAGATGGCCCCTCGACGCCATAGATCACTCGCCATCGAACTTGAGCATGTTGGCATGCATCTTCTCGAATCACGGCCTCTTCCTTGGCGACAAGGCGTTGAGATCCACCTTCATGATCTCCACCCCGGTCATCATGCTTGCAAGAGCCACTTCTTTCGCCTTTGTCTTGGCGTTGGCGGCCTCGATCTCTAGCATCTTGACTTGCTTCTCCGCCTCGAACTCGAACATCTTGGCTTGCTTCTCGGCGTCAAGATCAAGCCTCCTCCTTTGGATCTCCATGAAAGCATCCATTTGCTCCGCCTTGAAACGCCGACAAGCCGGTGCTGGCCGCGGCGACGGCGGCTTGGACGAGGCTGTGCTGGCTAGGGTTTACCCCAAGCATGTAGAGCGTCTCCCTCGTTGCCGCGGCGACGCGGGCGTTGGTGAACTCCTGCTGCACGGCGGCGGCGGCGGCCTGCGCAGCGGCCTCATCCCTCGAGTCCGCGGCGTACCTCCGGCCCTTCCTCTTGGCCGACTCCCTTGCCCGTTGTTCGGGCATCAGCGCCTTCTTCGGCTTGGTCGCCGCGGCGGTCTTGCGCGGGGCACGAGGCTTGCCTTTCCCAGAGGGGGCGACTGCGCCGGACGAGGCGAGGGAGGCGAGGCCAGCGGTGGCGTCAAGGTCGATGGCGTCCTTCATGGCTGGTTGGGGCGGGGGCGCGCGCGGGCGGGAGCGTTTTTGGAGAAAATGGAGGGAAATGGTGGTGGCTTCCACCACAGGCGGGTCTGGGGAGAGGAGTAGGTGCGCACGCGTCCGTCTCGTGTCCGCGCCGACGCAAATCCAACTCAAAATTGGGCCTGGAATGGGTCGCCGCGGACGAAAAATGGACGCGCGTCCATTTGGGTTGGCGCGTCCGCGTCGACCCGAACGGACGCGGGCAGACGAAATGGGTCGCCCCATTGGAGTTTCTCTTAGAGCAACTCCAACGCGCCGACTCATTTCATCTGCGCGTATTTGTTTCGATCAAAAGGACACAAAAGTCGGTTCAACGCGCCGATCCAAATGGAAGTGCGTCTGTCTTTTGTCCCTTAAACTTATTCCCGGCCTAAATTTGAGTCTTATTTGCGCCGACGCGGACATGAAACGGACGCGCCCGACGCCCGCCTACTTTCCCCTGGTTCGTCAGTCGGCGGCACAGCCACCACCATTTCGCCCCACTTTCCCAAAAACTCCCGCCCGCTCGCGCTCCCGTTCGCTAGCGATGGACGACGTGCCGACCCTCGACGCCGCCATCGGCCTCGCCTCGTCCGGCCTCACCTTCGTCGCCTCCACCAAAGGCAAGCCCTGCGCGCCCACAAAACTGAGGCGCCACCCAAGAAGAAGTAGTTGACGCCCAAACAGCGGGGCATGCAATCAGCCAAGAGGAAGGGGCGGAGGCATACGTAGGACCGCAAGCTCGAAGCCGCGGCCGCCGCCGCCCTCTCCGCCGCCGCACAGCAGGAGGAAACCAATGCTCGAGTCACCGAGGCAACGAGGGAGGCCCTGCTCTACCTAGGGTTAAACCCTGGCCATCACCAGCTCGTCAGCGTCGTCGTGGCCGCGACCACCATAGGCTCGTCGGCATTTCCTCGGGTGGGACTGCCAAAGTCACCGCGCGCGTCTGCCACACAGCCGATTCCCGGCTTCCATGTCTATCCGCAAGCCTCCCGCTTCTCCGGGGAATGCTCGCCGGAGGTGAGCGTGGTGGCGTCCACACCCGAGTCCATGGCCATCGACCTCAACGCCACACCGCTGGTCGACGGATCATCCTCCGGAGGGGCGAGGAAACACCCGCGTGAGATATTAGACGACATGTATCCCGACGCTCGCAGCCTGTTCGATAGAATGCCGCCCACCGATGACGACAGGATGACCAACCGTTTCATCATCAAGAACATCATCTTCGAAGGTGGTGCGGGAGCCACTGCCTTGGCAGGCGGTGCGGGTGCAAGGCCAGCATGCCGGTTCGCAAAGCAACCCCCAAAGGTTGCCCGATTGGTGCAAGAAGACCAAGACGATGGGCGCATAGGGCGGAAGTCATTCCCGAGCCCACTAGCGCCTCATGGACGGTGGCTTTGCAGGCGAAAACCACCTTTTGCCAGGATAGACCGTGCTCCTTCCCCCCTTCAAAATTGCCGTTGTGTGGCAACCCTTCCCACCAATATTTTCGGGGGAAGAGGACTGAGGCAGATATAAAAGGAGGGTAGGGTGCCGCTGTAGAGGGGGCTCCGAACCCTAAACCTTGTACTCACTACCTTCCCGCCAGAGCAATCCCAACCAAGTAAGAGTAGGGTTTTACACCGCATGGTGGCCCAAACTTGGGTAACCATTGTGTCACCGGCCGCTCTCGCCATAGCCTCGCCGTGGTTAGCTGCAGGGAAAGACAGGGCGGTAGCAATGAGTGCACCCCATAGTTTGAACCTTTGGGTCCCCGGAGCCCGGTTTCCGACATTTGGCGCGCCGGGTAGGGCTGTGTTGCCGTTATTCCGCTCCGCTACGCCTTACGCTTCGCCAGCTTCATGGCCGACGCTCGCCACGAGCATGCCGATCGCCGGGCGGGTCACGTCGCCCAAACAGAGCCTGTGGACCGCGACAACCGTTGCCGCCCTGCCGGGGCCGCAGCCACCGCCGCCATCGACCCAGTTGCTCATGAGCGGTAGGACTCCTCCATGCACCCCTCTGTGCAGCCGGGTGGCCACACCACCACGGCCTCTTCATCCCTCACCCGTCGTGGGCCGCGGAACGCGCAGGCCACGCTGCTCATGGTGCATGAGCTGCTCAACTACCGTCCAGCTGACGCCGGCTATGACGCTTGGCTTGGCCGCATTACCGAGCTTGTCAACACCGTCGGGGACGCCCAGGTGCCCTCCCACTCGCTCCACCCTCCGCCGTCTCGTGTCGGGGTTGTGGCGTAGGGTGCACCTCCGGCACCTGCTCTATGCAGCGATCCCGGTGAGCCCCGATGTGACGTGCAGGCACGTGACCCGTCTCGTGGAGCGCCCCCGCCAGCCCGAGATGAGGACAGCTGCCAGATCGTCCATCGTGCGCCACCTGACGCGTGTGTTCTCCTCGAGCAGCATCGTCAGCGCCAGGACCGCGCGGTCTAGGAGGTCAAAGCGGTCGGGCACTAGAACTACACCGCCCTCGCAGGTGGCGTTCCTTCAAGCGGTGTGAGATGCCGAGCTTTCACACACAAGCTGCATCGGGTGTTCTGGCCCACAAAGTTCAAGCTCGAGCTGCCCCCGCCCTACGACGGCATTCCCAACCCCGCGGAGTTCCTTCAGCTCTATGCGCTGAGCATCAAGGCGGCGAACGGCGACGACAAGGTCATGGCGAACTGGTTCCCCATGGCCATCAAGGATGGCCCGCGCTCCTGGCTCATGAACCTGCCTGAGGCGTCGATCTCTTCACGGAGCAAGCTCTACAACCAGTTCGTCACTAACTTCAAGGGCACGCACGACTGCCCCCTCACCATCAACGACCTGCGACATGTGCGGCAGCACCCCAGTGAGACCCTCCGCAAGTACATCCAGTGCTTTAGCCAGGTGCGCAACAAGATCTCGCGTGCCTCTGACGCAGCCATCATTTCTACGTTCTCCACCGGTATCACGGACATCAGGATGCGCGAGAAGCTTGCCATCAACGATGAACTGGACTCGGTGCTTGAGTTGTTCGACCTCGCTGACTAGTGTGCCAAGGCTGAAGAAGGTCATCTCTTTTGTCCACAATGACCCCAACGCGACACCCGCTGCCGCCAAGGCCAAAGGCAAGGACGTCAAGCACAAAGGCCCTGCCGTACTTGTGGCAGAGCCCGAGCAGAAGCGTGGCCGTGACCGTGATGAGCCCGAGAGGGAAAAACACCCTCTCTACGTCTACCACAACGTGCGCACCCATAACACCGAAGACTACTAGGAGCTCAAGTTGCTCCGCGATGACTACCTAGGCCGTCGAGGTGACCGCAACAACCACGGCGCTGGCCGCAGGGGTGGCCGCGACGGCAATCGCTGGGACGGCCGCAACGGCAATGACAACTTCCGCCAGGACTAGCGCGAGCAGCCTTGTGAGGCCGCCTGGTGCGACCAGCCTCGTGAGGGTGCCTGGCGTGATCAGCCTGGAGAGGCAAACCCTCATGCCCATGCGACTCTCCCGTTGATGCCGCC